TTGAAGTCCTCAGTTTGGCTACGAGTAATATGGATGATAGCATGGGAAGTTTATGAAAAAGACATTCATAGGATATAATGCCTTTATATCGCATGGTACCTCTTATCGAAAATCTCTACATCACCTTTTAACGCTCAACCCGCACAAATACCACACCTGGGAGACACCTGCCGTGTTTCCCAAGTCTTGGTTATCGTATGGTAAGAATAAAGAAGTTATAGAGAATTACGTTTTCTATTCAGAGAGTTCCTAGTTCTCGTGTTAAACTTCATGGCCAATGGAATTAAAGAACTTGACTAAGCACCTTTGACGATATCCTGAGAACAGAGAAACCAGTACGTGCACCATTTCGATGATAGTTAAGAATGTTTTCTCGCTATAGAAGGAAAGAACGAGATGAGCTTCCAAGTAGAAACAAGAGGGTGTTTTATCAGATTAGTCTTTCATGCAGATTGCTGCCAATTAAATTTACCCTTGAAGGTAGAAGTGAAGAAAAGATTCATTCAATAGCTCCACTTCATTCAATACTAGTGGAGTGTGGTAAGTTTTAGTAAATGTTTCAAATTTCATCTTTTTCATCTGCATTGTCATGATTCTGCTGAATTATTTTTGTTGAAAGTAAATAAGCATACTTCTAATATTTCAGCATCCTTCCACCTCAACCTTTCTGCCTAATGGCGTTCCTTAGTTTCAAGATTATGTCCAACTGCAATTTAGAAAAAACTCCTATCGTCGTCTAGGAAGAAAAAGACAAGTCACATATGATTAGAACGTTTCGGACCTTCTCTTCCTTACATCAAGGAAGAACTCGTTTGCAGTCATAGTGCGGAGCTAGAGCGACCAAAGTGATATTCGCTACTGCCAGCCGTTTGTTTGTTGAGTTCTAGAATCTCAAGGATGGAAACTACATTCATGAAAATTCTACTTCTCTGCTTTCTCAAATACTGGATGATAATGTAGCTCGTTCATCCACCTTTTGCCATCCTCACAGTAAAAGAGATCTTAAGGAGCGACATCATTTCACCAGCTTTCGCGAAATTGTTCGCTCGATTGGAACAGAAGTAATATAATCATTGATGGTAATCGCCCAACAAACGCCAAAGGTTCGCAGTGCTGATGGTATCGTCATCTCTTTGATAAGCTAATGAGGCAAAAAGCGATGGCCACAAATCTCAACGTAGCGGGGAAAAGAAGAGGGCTGCACAGAAATCGAATAATAACTTAGTCCATTAAAAAACCTGCGGTGTAACGGTAAACGCATCCAAATGGTTTGTTCCTCGATTAGAGAAAACCATATCCTACGTGTTTCTAGGAGGTCAGTGAACATGGAAAGCAACAAGAAGAAGTAATCACGCAGGAGGAAGAGAGCAATATGGGGCGTGAAAAAAATCTCAATATTATGATCCACTACGATCCAGGCAACAATCCATGGCCAAAAGCGAATAAATCCTTCCATTGGTTGGAAATGACGCACATAGGGCGACCAGAGAGATCACACAAGCGCTCATTATGAAGCCATCCACCATCCGATTTTGATTCCTTTCTTAAACGCAACAAAATCCATTTTTGAAGCGGATAATTATGGACGCGCATTACATAAGACATATTACATGAAAAAGAAAGCAAGAGAGAACCAGATCAGGTTTGCAAGACCCCTTGACTTCTAAAACTGAAATGTTTGTGTTCCACGATGAGACAATGGGCCAGAAAACAAGTGACTTTGATTTTTCAGCAAAAAATCAAAAACTGGGCTATCACATCTTGTTTCGCTCACATTGTTCATTAGACCTCGTACCAGTTGTTTAGAATCGGTTCAGATCTTCGCAGAACAGTTAAAGTGGCATAAGTTTAGATCTAGTTTCATCGGAAGATTGCAAGAATCATGCGGGCCAATTCTTAGCCAAGAAATTCCAACTCATTAAGAAATATGTAGTTGTTGGAAAATAACAAACGTTCTCAAGCAAAAGGCGAACACAATATTGACAAAGTCTGTTTTAAAGCAAACACACTGCGTGCGTGAAATTTGGGAAGTAGAAAAGTGATACGAACTTCTACATCAGACCAACATTAAAATATGGTCGTGAAAGAGCGCGTGTCTTGACTACTACCAACGATAGCTTCGTAGCTCGAGGAATTAAGAAGTTAACTACTGGAAAACTTGTAGAAGAGGTGTTTCCGCATTAATTTGTGCCCAGTTAACTTGAGCGTTAAATATGAATACCTGAATCTAGAAATAATTGAACGATAAGCTCAAAACTGGCTACTTTTAATAAAGCGCCTCACCCGCAAAAATCAACGACCTATGGCTTCAATGATGCTGAGATACTTGCAAAACTCCGGACCGCAGGTGTATGCGGTGGGGAACGAGAGCGTTATTACCCTTTTCGTGGGGCTAACGCGTTCACCACCAGAACATGTGGGTCGCTCGTTTCGCCTGTCTCTCAGCTAATTCTATCGATCAGGGCCGACGTCAAGAAGTCGGTGTCATTCTGGACCAAATTCAACTGGTTAAACAGCTTTTAATGTTTGAAAAACGAGTCTCGATCCAAAAAAAAAGCTTTGTAAAAGACATACTTCTCCATGAGTAGGATCTGTAGATCGCCAACGGCTTGCTACTTTATCACACCATAATGTGCCGCATTCACACGCGAACCCACACCTCGACAAATAATCGGCGCCGTAGTCAAAGAACAACTAAATAAATATTTTAAGCGCTACCTCTCCAATATAACTAAAATATTCCGTTAAAAACAAATGTGCGAACTAATAAGTACGTTCTTCATTACTATTTAACAAGAGATTTTCTTCGTATTTTTGTTGAGCAAACGCGAGGTGTTACTATTCTTTGCTCACGATTAAGCTGACGTTTCGGCGGATTTCGCCTTCTTCAGAGCCGCTTTCTATGAGGTTTCCACTAAGTATGTCACGTAGAGACCAACCGCACAGAAATCACGTGGAAGTATAATGAAGTATAATGGTATTTAACAAGAAATATCATTTTACGATGCAGAGGTGCTAATTGCGCACTGGTAGTGATGCTGTCCAGCACACGCACTGCCTTTGTTCAATACCGCCTCCGATCAACTCTCCAGGAATTGCGAAATTTGCGCCAAACTTCTCTAGGGTCGATATTGGTTACTCCAATCCACAAAAATTGGATACTGCCTACGATAAGGATTTATAAACACCTCAGCACGGCTGTCAGAAAATTCCAAGAAGAGCCGTCTTCACCGGCATTCAACGACAGATCTTCATACAGAAGACAGAAAATCCTCAATGAGTATCTGCAGCTACATGTAAAATCCGAGGGCGTTCGTGGAATATGGATGTAAGCAAGCGAATCGAATGCAATATGTGATGGGACCGCACAACATTTGATGTAGGGATTTGTGAAACAAAAGCTTCAAGGAACCAGGAAATGTAGGGCAGACGCGACCACAGCATTGAACCTTAACCATATACAGAACGTTAAGACTTCTGGTGAGGAACACCTCATTTTATTATGTCACAAACATTTAACGAATCCTGCTGCAGACTTCGAGAGAACAAGGATGTCAAACGCGGTGTTCATTTGTAATTTCGCCGGCAACATGCTCTCAATTTGTGGTGAGTAAGAAGCCGAGACGCCATACTGCTAATAGTAATGTCTGCATTGCAAGGAAAAGAGCTGGAAAATGAACATCTGCTCAGGAAATTAGTGAAACGTGAGAATAAGCAGGTGAAAAACGGCAATGGAAGATCATCAACAACTGCGTTCCAGATTCATCTGTGATCATGTCAGGAAGAAGAAATGTGTTGTCTCAACAGCCGTGGTTTCGAAACTGGGTGACCTTGCTGGCTAAAGAATCGTAGAGCACCTACCATCAGAAAGATCGAATTCACATATCCAAAAAAAACTTTTACCACTGGTCTTCATGGACACATAGGCATGGCTGGAACACTTTGCTTACCAGAATGAACAATTTCTCTACAACGTTTTGAATAAGAAAGACACATCGCCAACTACTGCGCTGCCTAATGTTTGTCGGTTGAGCCCAGTGTCAGTCAAAATGAGAGGAACCCGAAGTTTGCAATATGTCATCAACCAATAATCGATGACAATGAACCAAATCAGAAAGTCTGAAAAATAAAGTAAGAACGGTACCTAGCCGCCAAACGAAAGGCGCTGACCGTTACACACTAGACATCAAATGGACAGCCGGTGGAGGGTCAATCCAAAGGTCACACTTCTTTGCGAAAGTCCCAAATGAAATCGTAATGAGAGCGACTGATGAATACAAGGCGTTTGCTTGGCTCATTCGCTAGTTCTTAGAGAGATATAGGTGACAACGCCGATATTTATGAAACATATCGGCACAGGACGGTTTAACGGCTTTTTCTCCACCACCCTATATCACATGTTGTGGGGATGCCAGCCCTTGCATTCAACCGATTTTCTCAAATCCATTATTCACAAGTCCTCTGATGTATGCGGTTGTCCCATACTCCAGAACTTGCGGTCTTCTTTATCACCGTGGTTGAATGCTTGTCTACCCGACTGTCCCTCAAATCCTGGGAGAGCCGTGCTAGAGCCCTAGCGGATCGTAGAAACAGGCAAACTTCAGCCTTCTTGAATTGGAGAAGACCAGCTTCTCCTCGCCGGCTCTGACACCAATTTCCCGATCTCGAATGGGTGAGAGGGTCAATGGGTTCGGTGTGGGGCTAAACCTTGCTCGCTATGAACAGCATCGCTACCCCTGTACAACCCGTTCTTGCTATTATGAATCAGGCATTAAAATATTTAAGAACAAATTGAAACAGAATGACAATCGCTACATTCGTTGGAAATCTAAAATAGAAACTGCGTTAAGTGAATAAATGCGCAGAATAGAAACAAATATTTTCATGTCACGGAAAAGAAGTGCCATTGAGGAGAGGATTTCGTCCAAATTAATGGAGCCATCAACTGTGAAGTGTCATTGTTGCCGCAATGTTATCCAGGCTTAATTTCAAAGCATGAGTCATTGCTGGTACCAACGACCTTGTAATGTAGAGTGATCACCATTCGTAGTCTCATTACCATTAGACATGATGTTCTTTTAGAACTGATAATAGATAATGCACCGGTGAACAAGCAGTTTCTTATAAGTGCATACCTCTGAACCGCCAGCAATTGGTTGATTAGCGAAAAGGATCGCACGTGACCGGAAAAGGCGAAGGTCATTTTCAGCATACCTATTGAAGAAAATAGAATGAATCGAGAGAGCAGTACTACTGTAATAACATATCAAAATTTGGAGCATCAAACAAATAGTTCTGAAAAACTCAAATGCTCATGGAATACTCTACTAATAAATTTAAATTTTTCTATGTCAGATTTTCTATTTTTCTATGTTCTATGCGAGGGTTGAAAAAGTATTGACATAATTTTTATTCGTCGAATATTGCTGTTACATCAAGCTCAGGAAGAAGTACGCAGTGCAAACGGCTCAAACACTGATGAGGTTATAGGACCTAGGGAAATATTAACAGATGACGGTGCCATTTTCGTTTGGAAAATTCCTTGTGGCGAATTCGACCTTCAAGATTAGTGAAGGCCACGGATGTCCTTCTGGTGTTGACGACCACGAATTTATGGCCTCCTCCAGGCAATACACGCAGAACTATTCGAGCACAGAAAAACTCTACACAAGCATCTCTACTTTTCTGAACCCTGACCAAAACATGGAAGCTTTATCTCATCCACCATGCTAGCTAGAGCAGAGCTCTCGCCCATCGAGTATCACTTCCCCGAGCCCGTTAACAACTTCTTGTGTGAGAGAAATGTTTCGAAAACTAAACTGAGGCCAAAAGTTCCCTTAACGACTTCACCACCTCTAGAACATCAGAGTGTCAAGGAATTGAAAGGGATAAACGTGTTTCTCGTTGGTAAAAATGTGTAGATTCTAATGGCGTTTATTCCGATTATCAAATTTATTCTGAAATGAGATACGCCATTTTAAAAATGCAAGTCGGTATCCGACACTAATTTTCTAGAGACCTAATAGATAAAAAAAAACTCTCGGCGTTGATCAATCCCTACGGGATGCGCCATGTATTCGACTTCATTAAGTATTGCTAGAGATGATTGAGTGTATATCTGGCCTTTATAAAGAGTCGGAGTGGCCTACCGATTTATCGAGCTAGTGCTACTATCTTCCCAGACAAGGCTGGTCCCGATTTGCCCACTATGGAGAGAAGGAAGCTTTAGTGGGCCATGGATGCGGGGATTGGCTCACGGGTGTGGCGCCTCCAACCACTGCGCCTTAGAGACCTAATAGAACCGCATAATCTTGTGTGGCAAAAAACATGAGCAATGTTTGACCTTTAAGGTTATCGTGAGCTCTCAAAAGTAAAAGTACTTCTGTCAACTAATCCTTTACAAATTTCGCATCTAACTTACGATTACTAGCACATTGCGAATTATTACGGGTAAATTTTCATTATCCTCCCAACTGTTTACCGCCTCATCGTGGCTGAGAGGTGTTCCTGAGTGTCGAACTGCGATGTTCAGGGGAGAGATTCATACTCCTGGCAGGGTCCCCCATGCTGAGAAGGAGTCCGGCGTTTCCATCAGAAAGTCTAGCTAGGAGTAAACCAATACCAGGATCTATCATCATCCTGGTATCGAAATCGCATGGTGGCAAATCTCCCTCTAATCTACAAGGGCTGCGACTGCCTGTAGTGTTGAAGACCTGGGGCATACTTTGGTCAGGTTGACCTCGGGACTCTAGGAAGCCAAAATGGCTTAACCAGCAAATCTCCGAAAAATGGAGATTATGCTGGGGCCAGCACAACCAGTGGGAACAGGCCATTCAAGTATCAAGTAAGTATGTAAGATTTTCATTATTCCAACTTTAGACAACTTCACATTGAAACTCATGCTTCACTTTCGCATTGGCAAAATGCAAGATGGTGACAGCAATTTCACGAATTACTTTTTCAGTAGCAAACCGAACGATCGTAGCTGTAACCACTTATCCGATCTGAGTAAGCTATAGTGGAATACTGGGTCTTAGAGAACTATCATTTATGCGAAATACAACCACAACGATGCTGAGATGTTTGCAAAATTCCGTACCGCAAGTGTCTGCGGTGGGGAACGAACGCGTTATTACCTTTTCCAGGGGCGAACGCGTTCACCATCACACCCCTTTTCGCCTGTCTCTCAAAAATACAACAACGTCTGGTTGCGCGTTGGTACCACACCGTAGACACCTGAGGTCCGCAGTTTTGCAAATATTTCTGCATCGTTGCGGTTATATTTCGCACAATACCTTACCCTAAAGATTGTAGTGGGAAGAAAACGAAAGTAAATACTGTGATTTTAGCTACAGCCTTAGCTAAACTGGTTCAATCCCCATGTGGACTCCTCAAATCAAACCCGCTGATGGGTGACTACTGATGGCAGTGATCGATAGAACTAGCCGAGAGACAGGCGAAACGAAGGATCCGTATGGTGTGGTGGTGAACACGTTATCTCCCGGAAAGGGTAATAGCGCGTTCGTTCCCCACCGTAAACACCTGCGGCCCAGAGTTTTGCAAATATCTCAGCATCGTTGTGGTCGTATTTCGCATAATACCCTACCATAATAATTGTAGTAGGCAGAAAATAAAAGTAAACTAACATTTAGTTCTGTCGAGAAACTAATTCAAGAAGAACTACTACTTTTTTCATTACGATAATTGCACTTTAGATGTGCTAACAGAAGAGCTATATGCCTCCGAAACATCATTCTTCCAAAAGTGGAGACCGCAGACTTGAAAAATGCGCTTTTCACCGTCATATTTTTCATCTTTGGTACAAGGTAATTCACAGGTCGTGTTTAATTTCAGTAAGGCTCGCAAGGGACCACAACTCAATATTCTGTTAATGATGAATGAAGAGCCTGGTTTCGATGCGAACTTTGGAGTATTTTCACGAGATTCATTAGCAGGCTCAGTCTTCCACAAGGAAGTCAGTGAAATGTGCTGTGGTTTCTCATTCTGCAAGGTTGGTATTATATTACCAAAGCAATTCTGTCTCTTTTCAGAGAACCCAAATTAGTTGGATACTAGACGACGTGGAACATCACCAGCTGAAAAACAAAGGGTTAAAAGCCGTTGAAAGACAAGTATGTAGCGGTATCGAGATCACGTGGATTTAGTGGATGGATTGTATCTGACTAAATTATGGTTTATTGTATTTATTACGTGTGTTTGTTGATTTTTATGAACGCATGTAAAGTGTCCATTAAACGTTTACTTCGCCAAAGTGTAAGCTTATCATGAAAGGTGGTTCGCTGTCGCCTCCCACAACGGCTAATCTAAGAAAGCAGGGCAACCTATGCACTACTATCATTGGTCAATATCAGTAAAAACAAAGAACTTAAGGACACCATAAGGTTATTGCAACGATTTTTCGTACAATACATTCACACTGGCGTAGGAATTTCCATTGAACTGATAGTTAAGCACTGCTGTAAATGAAATAAGGGAAATATGAACACTGTGGCGACCGAACACTGTTCATGCCAATGGAGAAAAAATGCTCCCAGAAATATGCGATAAGTCGAAGGAGTTCTTCGAGTAGGCATCTTCTTCAACGTGAGAATAGTAGCTAAATTTAAACCTAAATCGGCGATTCATCGTTGAAAATATATGCACCAATGGCGAGTTCGAAAACTTTCGTTACCTACAGATCAATATTATGCTTTGATAAGGCCCAGGAAATCTAGAGGAAAGAAAGATATTATGTAGAACAGGTCAAATTTTGTCCTAGATAAGATTTTTTAGAGGAGCTTATGCCTTCTACTAGGTAATCATTGACGACTTTAACCTTTGGAATAGTCCGAAAAACTAACGACACACATAGATTACAACGGATCAAAAACGATGAAAGTCTCCCGAATTGATCAAGACGACCAGAAAAACATAAAGTAACACTCAGTTCCAGAAGCTGTCCTCTCAACATTGGAAGTGGAAGTTCCCAAATAAAACATAACGGAAATCGCCATACAGTGCTAAATCAAAGGTCCTGACTAGACGCTGTCGCTGTTGTAAAGAAGTTCGTCATTTGACCACCGCTTTATTCGGCTCATAAAACAATTCTACTACGATCTGTTCGTAAACGAGCAGTTAGTACACCAACGACTGTCCGGAACACATGAGCGCTGAATGGCATGAAACCAAACGTGCAATCGGCGCCAAACGAAATTCTTAAGGATGTAAAACCAGAAGTGCCAGTGTTCATATCATAGCTTCGAAAATTAACTAAACCGATCAAAACTATCGTTGGACAAGAGGTGCATGCAATTTATGTCGTGCGATGTTATTCAAACAACGAAATCTTCATCATCGACAAGGTCAAGCCTTATCACAAGTAGCCTGGCAATAGTGTACTGTAGCGTTGTTCGCGTTCGTAATGTGGAACGAATGTAGTGGACATCACAATATTTAACTTTCTATCTAATGCCAGTTATTTTTTTATTTGAGAGTATTATGTGACAAACAACCACAAAAATGCTGAGATATTTGCAAAACTTGGAACAGATGCCGATTAGAACCTTTGAATACTCATTCCGGTGCCTCACGTGTCACCGAAGCCCTCGTTCTGCCTTTCTCTCAACCCCCAGAAAAAGTAATGCGGGCTTCAATCTGGCCTGGGATTTGGGTTTTGTAAATGTCCCAGCCTCCCAACGGTTTACCGCCTCATCGTGGCTGGGGGGTGTTTCTGGGTGTCGGACTGCAATGTACAACGGTGAGATTCGTTCCCCCGCAGGGTCTCCCAAGCTGGGAAGGAGTGCGACGTTTTCATCGGAAAACATAGCTAAGAGTAAACCAATGCCAGGATTCACCACCGTCATGGTATCAAAGTTGCATGGTGACAAATCTCTCTCTGATCCACAAGGGCGGTGACTGCCTGACGTTGTGACGACCTGGGGCAGACTTTGGCCAAGCTGACCTCGAGATTCCACGGAAACACGATGGCTTATCAAGCAAATTCCCGAAAAGTGATGATTATGATGGAGCCCGCACAACTAGTGAGGACGGGCCGTTCAAGTATCAAGTAAATGTCCCAGCGTCGCGGTTACAGTGGACATCTTAAAGCAGTATGAAAGAGAAGATATTAGCGTTCCACCTAAGCAGCAATCACTAAGTTGTAATGGCAAAAACGAGTGTACCGGAAAACCTTCGAGACTAAAAACATTCTTCCCACGTACCTTAACATGGTTAAATTAGGAAAACAGCCATGAGCAATGAACCGTGCGACATTTCCTCTTCTATAAGGGTCAACGAAAACCGAGCGATCCCATTTCTCAAACGATTCATCCTGTAAAATGGAAACGTTGATGTAGAAAGAAGAAAAATTGACAGTACTGAACCGAGAAAAAAATTCCTACTCTAAACAAATCAAGAAAAAATGGAAATCATCTTTTAATCGTGCTAGTAAACTATTATAGATTTGAATCCAAATAAAAGCTTGTGATCTCAAACCATCATAACGAGTAGACTATTTAACCGCAACAACCATCACTTGAAAGTGTTAAATTTCTAATATAATCTTATTTTCTCCTATTCAGTAAGAAAAGGGTCTGAAGCATATAATTTTTGCTAGTGGATTTTCTTTACAGACGAACCTTTAGCTGGTAATAAGTCGTGAAGCTAAAGCTAGAAAGGTGGCGAGTAGCTGGCCAAGCAAGTGCAAAAGCAACGGAACTCATCACGTAATTGCCGCAAGAACCAGATTCATTTTATAGGATAGAATTCTTTCTGTTTTATACAATTCTTTCTTTCTACTTCTGTTCAGCAAACACGAGGTTTCATTTTATTTCTTTATTTATGTACGTACAAGCTGATGTTCCGGCGGATGTCGCCTTCCTCAGAGCCTGGAAAGGTCAATTTGACAGCAATCTATTCGGCCAAACACCTCCATAACCAAACAAACAAAACGTTAAACCAAAATCACATTGAACACAGCTCTGCACACTCACCGCTTTCTATGAGTCTTCCACAAAGTGTGTTGCGTGAAGACCAACCGCACAGAATTCACATGGAAGCGTAATGTGTCCCTCCCATCAGAATAACGGGTTTATATACTGCGCTATATCACGCATGATAATGATGCATTCTTCCCTGCGGTTCATTTTCGGATTTTTAATCCAGAACGCCTCGAGAGTTTTGCGCGCTTGTGTTCTCGATTCCTGAGCGTACAAGAAGTAGAAAGAATTATTCAATTAATGCCGAGGTTAATAGAAAGTCGGACGCGGGAGTTACTACAATTCTTTCTCTTTTATACCAATTTATGCTTTCGTATTTAGAATAGGCAATCGCGGCCAATATACGGGCACGAATGATACACGATCTAAGGTGGAAAAACTACCGATAGAATTCAAAGAGTTTGCTAAAGTATGAATCCAAAGCAGAATGTACGGACGCTGGTATAACCATCTCCAAACCAACGAAGCTTGCCTTCTCGTCAAGATCGAGAGATTGGTAAACACGTGCTTGGGTAGCTCCTTATGTGAGGAAGACCTGGGAAAACTTTAGGGCTGCTGTCTCATAATTTTAGGAAGGAGCAACAGGACCGGCGTCTAACGAGATTCACAAAGAAGAAAAAATTCTCTACTAACTACGGAGCCTGCACGTGATGCAGGAGATCATCGTGGATGATGAACGTGGATAAACGAAATGTCACGTAATGTAGAAATTGCTGCATTTATCAGGAATGCTGGGGTTAAAAACAGCCGAGAGAATGTGAGTTACATCGCGCGAGTTCGTACGTGTTTTTGGTGTTGAAGATAACCTTGGTATCCATTCTACCAAAATGACCTCGTTCTCTTGACCAACTATTCTTATGCATTATTTTATACCCGTGGTCAGTTTATTGAGAGTGAAGGGCATATTAGAGAGGTGTGTTTTCACTAGACTTACCGTTTGTAAGCATAGCTTGCAATCTGAGGTAGCTCTCAGAAGCTACTGTTCGGTTATGGATTAGAGCAGGCTGTTTACTGCGTTAAGCAGAATGATTCACTCCTCTGTCCTCTTCGTATACAAACATTGGTGGTTGTTCGAAGCCCGCGTTTCTCACACGTGTCTCTTTTGAGTGTGGAGCATGAGACGGAGAAGCAATGATCTAGCATGTTTTTGTTACCTGGCATTCAGTAGCACTTTGTAATGTGGTAATTTTTGGATAAATTAGTTCGAACAACCAAAAATAAAAGCGAGTTTTCTACCTTTTTCCCTCTGACAAAATTTTTGCTCTCTGGCTCTTCCTTCAATAGGTCAAAACATCTCTCTACCTCGGATTTTATAGAGCAGATGAAAAACGAAGATCTACTTTTCATCTCCTAGTGATTTACCGCCTTATCGTGGATGGCGGTGTTCCTGAATGTCGGGCTACGATGTACAGCGGATGATTTTCCTGCCAACTGGGTCTCCTTCTTAAAAGAGTTCGACGTTTGCATTCAGAAGCCGGCCAAGAATGGATCAATACCAAAAATCACCGTTCTCCTGATATCAAAGTAATCAAAAGATGGTGAATCGCCCTATGATTCACAAGGGCCGACGAATCCTCATGGCAGTGATGAGCTGAAGAAGGTTTCGGCTAGACTAAGCTTGGTTCTCCAAGGAACCACAGTGGCCCAACCGATAAAACTCCAGCCTTGGTACCCCACACACCAAGCGCTCTCGTTTACAACCTCGGGCGGTGGGGTAACTAGTGAGAGGCGATCAATTTTAGGATTGCACAGAACGTTATTGAAAATGGACTAAACGAAGGCGTACATAACACACTATGCTTTTTCTTCTACTACACTAGAACAGTCTTTTCATACGCCGATCTTCGCGCTGTTCTTGAGGCGCTGGTCACATCAAGTTTCATGTGATCTCCCTCAAAGAAACAAAAGGCAAGAAAATTGACATACACTAACTAAACATTGGGACCTATGTCGTTTTTGGTGGAAAAGTTCGCTTGAGAAACGAAACGATGGTGGCGTCACTCTTGTAGAAATCCATCTAAGATTACCAGCATCATCATCTGCTCATCAACATCTGCACCTAAAGAAGGCGAACTGCACGCGTTCCGCAACCGGCTGCAAGAAGTAGCCCCTAAAGGCAGGCGTTGTTGGAGACACGAAAACTACAGGAAGAGCTAATGGGATTGGAAAATTAGGAATGGGAGATCTAACTGGAAAAAATACCGGTCTTGTAGAACTTCTGTACGCAGTATATCCCTTCAATGGGAATTCATAGACAGATAATAACTCAAAAGGCCGACTTTTTATAAAGCTCGGCATAAATAGTCGTTATATTTACCTGTATGTTCCTATGAACTGATCTTGTTGAGCCGATGCGAGGTAGGTATAAGTTGTTGTTGTTGCTCGATGCATGACCTTTCGGCGATTTCACCTTTCTCAGAGCCGTGCTGTTATGCCTCGGGTAATTTATTATGCTTGATGAAATTGGGAACAATTTGGTATTTGAAGATTGAACAGCATAGTTTTTAGTAAGGCAAAGTCGACAAAAGGTCAGCCATCGACCATCAACAGCATTAACAACGACAACAACAAAAGCAACTTATACCAACCTCGAATCAGCTGAACAAGGTCACTTCGTAAGAACATGTAAATTAAGACAGGTAATTGCGGCTGGACATAGAAGTCTTCTAACGGAACGATTCATGAGATCGACAACATTTGAACGAAGTGAAGATGGTTCTTCCTCGAGATCTTCGTAGTTCCATCATTCTGCATTGGATCAGATCATCACTCTTTAAGGATCCAACCATAAACTGAAAAAGAACTCTTGCCATTGTCCAAGAAGAAGAAGACAAGTCATACATGACGAGAGTATCCTCAATAAAATCCTCTCCTTAGATGGTTGGTAGATAAAAGAAGACCAAACAAGAGCTAAAAGCTGCTATCGAAGGACTTAACCCTTGTGCCGAACTCCCCTCAGTTTCTCAAACAAGAGGTTCAGAAGAAGTGAAGACTGGCCATCCAAGCATTATAGAGTAGTAGTCGGAGACTAAATATTTCTACTTTCACAGTACACTTTATTGCCAAACCTCTCACTTGCGTGTAACATTTTTCTTATGAGCCATGAGCTCATGAATCGACAAGCCATGTGTGATAACTGCTCCTTTGTGTTAGATGAGTTGGTCAAGCGCTTGCAATGCGGAGTCATCCGCGCTTTGAATGGCTTTTTTTTTAGAGATATTGAAGTGTTTGGCCGATTAGAATGGATGTCAATGTGACTTAATACAGGCTGTCAAGGGAACGTCGAAACGTTAGGCAACGTCAAATAAGCATTTTACTGAAAACATCGTGTCCTCTCAAGAAGAAAACTGACCTATTTCACAATTTACACCTTCAAGTTTTAGCTACTACTCAAAAACGCCGAAGAAAACAGGATTGTTCACAAGAAAGGATTCCAACTTCTCTACTACACCAGCCGTAGTAGGCCAACCTTTCCTGTCTAGAGAAAGAAGCGATGAATTGTTTCCGTCTCATCAACAGAGTTAATCTCCCATCACTACTCAACCCCTTATCCATATCCGCTGGTCCCTCCCACAAGCACATCCTAAGTTCTTGTCATAAATAATTAACAGGATTTTCTTCGTATTTTTGTTGAGCAAACGTGAGGTGTTACTATTCTACATAACATAACATAACATGACATAACGGGGACGACTTCGAAGTATGTGTCACGATCCTCGCACGCGAATCAAGAACACAGGCGCGAAAAACTCTCGAGGCACTCTGGATTAATTCCAGAAATCCGAAAATGAACCGCAGGGAAGAATGCCTCATTATCACGCGTGATATAGGGCAGTATATAAAACTGCTTTTCTGATGTGAGGGGCACATTATACTTCCATGTGATTTCTGTGCGGTTGGTCTCTACGTGACATACTTAGTGGAAACCTCATAGAAAGCGGTGAGTGTGCAAAACTGTGTTCAAAGTGATTGAAATCTTGGTTTGGAGTTTCTTTGTTTGGTTATGGAGGCGTCTGGCCGAGTGAGTTGCTATCAACTTGACCTTTCCAGGCTCTGAAGAAGGCGAAATTCGCCGAAACGTCAGCTTAATCGTGAACAAAGAATAGTAACACCTCGCGTTTGCTCAACAAAAATACGAAGAAAATCACTTGATCAATGCCGAGGTTAATAGAAAGTCGGTCGTGGCAGTTAATTAACAGGAATTTTTTAGATTTGTGCATTGAATGAAAACCTATCGATCCAAAGCAGATTCATTACCACTGATGATCAAGGTCTATGAGGTACTACACCCTTTCACCGTTCAGCGTTACTCGCCTTACTATTTTCATTTCCAGCTTCCGATTCATTTTTTAGAGACCCTTTGAAAAGCAGAAGAAGCTTCATCAATGTTGTCATCAATGTCTTCATTTCTTTTCCTTTTCAGTCCATGAGCTGTAAACCGAAATGAAGTTTATATGTCTATTGTACATGGCGAGACGATAGTTACAAAGATTGCTCTTCTGTCGAAACGATTCGGGTCTATTAAGTCCAATTTTTGATCGGTAATCGATTGCATCTCTTTTCAATCCCTACTATAAGCCTTAAGGGCGCGTGTGGCGCAGTGGTCGGAAGAACCACTGCGACACACACGTGGAATCGATTCCCGTGCCCATGGCCCACCAAGCCTTCCATCCCTCCGAGATCGGCAAATTTGTACAAAACGTGTCTGGGAGGACAGTAGCACTGGCTTGATACATCGGTAGGCCACCGAGAGTAATTGTAAAGGCCCGATATACATTTAATCACCTTTAACGATGCTTAACGAAGTCGAACACACGACGCATCCCTCTGGGATGGTTCAAAGCCAGGAGCTCTGTCCTTTTATCCTGAGTTTCTACCAACAACCTCGCGTTTCGTCATAAAAAAACAGCGTATTATCGATCACTATTGAGGTAAAAAGAAAATCGGTCCTGAGGTATGCTTCGATAATTATTTGAAACTTTGAATATTTGTAGAAAAGATATTTTAGGTAGCAGGAAGTGTTTCTTCATCAACTGTAGGCATCATAACAGTATCCCTAATATTACTCCAACTTACCAGACTGTATCTGTCGTTTTCTCTTCAGTGTGAGCAAATGATCTGATAGGGAAGTATTTTACCACTTTCTGTGCGTGTGTCGACAAGATGAAACCTTTTCTGGACAAGCTCTGAGCCAAAAGATACTCAATCATGCACGGATGGCTACTCGTAAACAACAAAATTTTTAAAGCGTAGCCACTTCTTGAGCAGGATTTGAGTAACTTGAGACCGCATTTGCACTTTTTGTGTCGGATATACTGGCAAAAGACGGGTTTACCACTCTGCAGCAATTCCTATTGATAAACTCGATTAGTGGTCTAATATTGCACGATCTGTTACTTTGGTAACAAATTATGCAATTCGCGGGTTAGAGGAGGGGCTTTCTAGTTTATCTTTCGTCGTAGTACGGGATACAATAGTGTGGCACACAAGAGCTCCAGTGGAATGCCAATAATGATGAGTTCATACAGTCCAAAATTCCCAGCCTACCGTAAATTGTGATGAATCCTCTCATTTTGTGAACAGTTGTTAGTGCGTACAAAACTCCCTTGGTTAGTGAGTGCAGTGTGTAGTGAGGAAGACCATCAGGAAGCTAGTTGCTGGTTCAACCCCTTACGTAACGTTCTTCTACAATCCACGTCGAAACGCCTTAGTACGGCTATCTCCAAGATTGCAACGAGAATTGGCTCGACAAGCATTCTGCCGCATTCATGAATAAGACGAAATCCTCAATCACTAGCCGAAACGACACGCCAAATGTTCGATGAGCCTGGTGCAACCTGAATGCGAATACTCCCAACACTCCTTGCATTCGACTTGTTTTTAAGCCCCAGCTTAATTGCGTTCATCGTCGATTTGCGCTCCCAGGTCAATCTCGCTGACAGGTGATTGCTGATGGCTGTGATCGATAGAACTAGCTGAGAGACAGGCGAAACCAAAGACCTGCATGGTGTGGTGGTGAACGCGTTACTCCCCGGAAAGGACAATAGCGCCTTCGTTTCCCACCGCTGACACCTGCGGTCCGGAGTTTTGCAAATATCTCAGCATCATAGAAGTTATATTTCTCAATATACAATGCCATTAAAAAGAGTAGGCAGTAAATAAAAAGGTTAAGATGTGATGAAGGTTCATGTAAAATGATTGAATAATATGTACTACTTCACAGCGAGAGAGCAAAGCCTTTTCTACAACTTCTCAAACCCTTTAATTTGTCTGCTTATCGAATAATTATCGACCATTGTAGAAAAACTGACACTGCTTATTATGTGGTGTGTTTTACATGGAATAATGCGTCGTCCTACGCCGCAACCATGCAAAACTGATCGTTGAGCGCTACGCGTTAAAGAAGTTTGACGAAAAGCATGTTCCGACGTAAGAAAAAAGAAGTAAAGCTGTCGGTGTAAATCAATCCCAGAGGATGCGCCATGCATTCGACTTCATTAAGCATCACTGGACTTGTTTAATGCGTATCTGGCCTTTACTCGCGGTGACTTGCCGATGTGCCAGTGCTGCTCTCCTTCCAGACAAATCTGGTTCTAATTTGCCGAATCCGGAAGGATGGAAGGATTAGTGAGCCTAGGGCGGGGAAATGTTCTGTTGCACTCCATTTTATTATGTACTGCTTTGCTAAATATTATTTTATTAAGGTATTAAACAAATATTCATCAAACGAGTCAAATCGAATTTGCAGACCTGTATTAGCCTCACAGATTTCAATTTCTCATAGATTTCCGTTTCATCAGCTTGCTGCAGGCAAAAAGCATAATCTATCGAGGGCGATCCTCTTAAGTCCAGATCATTACTCTGCAATACATTTAGGCTAAACAGAAAGATGGTAGCTAACATAAAAGTTTAAAAAGGGAATCAACCGACATCAAGTACTTCTCCACAGAATTCGAGCACAGCACAACCTGTAAAAGTACCACTCTTCTATTATTCCACCTATTGATAAATAATAAAATCTTAACACAGTTCGACATTGGTATTTTGGCGATTGCCGGTAGTTTTTGATGACGATTGTCGTTAGAAAAAATGAAAATGTCTTTTTAATTATGAAAACTATAGTTTTCAAAAAAACGACTGACATGATGCATTAGGGAACAAAATCAGAACCATTGTTGAACAAAATCCTGTTTGATCCATCGCTCTGCTCAAGATATAAACCAGGGAAAAAAGATGGAAAACTGCGCTTATTTGGGTTTCAAAAAACCGAAATCTCATTGTTTCAAAACCTACATCTTGTTGGACGGGATATGTAAATATTATTAAATTTATTTCAATAGGTAAGTCCGCTGTGAGCTGAGATATGTTTTCTCCATGCTAGAAGGTCGAATTAGAAGTTAAAATCAATTGATATTGTCTTTACGTGTTGGAAGCACATCATTACTATGTTCTGAAGTTCATGTCACTGTAGAAAGTCAAAACGGGAGCTCAGTGGCGAAATGATTAACGCGCGAATCCCGGAAAGAGTAGTCTAGGGTTCGAATCCGGAGTGGAGTCTGACTATTGCAAATATCTCTGCATAATTGTGGTGGTATGCCACAACATTATTCGGAAAAGTCACGTACCATGAGCTATATTGCTTAATGTTCGCACCCCAAATCCAAGCTTATCGTTTCTTCGAAAAACTTCGAATCTAGAAATAAAGGTTAAAAATACGTAATAATTTGCGATAGGAAAATGGAACTGCCTAGCCTATGGATGTGGTTCAATCGCTATTTCCTTTACTGCTCCTAGCACACTGATTCCGTGTGCACGTACATGAGTCATATATGAGACATACTCTCAAAAAACGTGTAAATCAAAATCCATATGTCAACGTACTTGAATGGAGCAGGAAGGCATTTACTCCTTAAGGTATTTTTGCATCGTGCCATACAAGCGCACTTCTCGCCACAACCAACTATTAATGTATTGTAAAACGTAGCATCACTGTTAACAAACACTCGTCCATCACCCTATAAAATTGGAAAATTGGAAACTGAAACAATATCTGCGAAACAAATTTAGAAAAAAGAAAAGTGCTTTTAAAATATAGCTACCATTACAGTGCACGGATTGAGGAGGTCATTCATCTCGCGACAAGAACAGTTTTCACTACACACCAGACTACGGCAATCACATTTCACCTAAAAATCCAACAACTCGTTTCATACCAAACAGTATTCGAAATAGTTATGAGCAATAAAAATTAAAGGTGGGAATGTTAATCGTTGGTCACTTCCACATTTTCTTCTCCTTCGAAAACATGGCCATGTGCCAAGAGAGTACCACAGAGTTCATTGGTGATGACAGCGATACAAAAGATTCCTCCTCTTTGCGGGTATTTCGAATCATATGAACCAGATATGACTCATGTGGCACGAGGATGGAGATTATGCGCCATTCTATAGCTCAGTTTTCGAAAAGTGAACTCGATTTTTGTGGCACTATACTGCACAAAAGAATGGACTTCATTATGTCGCCGACCATTCTAATCGTCGATATATTAATGCTACCCGAACTAACAATTTTCAATAGAATATTATGACTCTTAGCACCTATCACAAAACATTGCCAGCGCTGTCACACAAAGAATACTAATCGGAGTTTACGTGGGATTTTTCACGGCAATTCAATACAATTAGTTACGAAGTATCGTATCCTGCTTATTACTTACATGGATACATGGACGATTCGTCCTCACAGCTAGTACGGGTTCCAGCATAGTCCCTGTTTTTCGAAGTTTTGCTGGCTTAGCTATTGTGTTTCTCTGGAGCGCAGCGGTCAGCCTACCCAAAGTCTGCTCCAGGTCGTCGCGACCACAGACAGATTCCGGCCTCTGTGGATCAGAGAGAGATTTACCACATGCGACCTGATACCAGGACGGTGGCGGGTCCTGGTATTAGTTTACGCTTAGCTAGGCTTTCTTATGGAAAACTCGGACTCCTTCTCGGCTTGTGAGACACTGCAGTGGGGAAGAATCCTACGGCTGTATATTGCAGTCCAACATCCAGGTGCACCTTCCGGTTACGATGAGGCGGTAAACTGTTGGGAGATCCTGCTTATTGGTCAATATAAATACAAAGACATAAGTAGAAGCAAAGACACGACAGTACTTCTACACTCCCTTCAAGCCACACATCTTTATAGCCGTGCGTGGTTATGTCAATGAATTGATGAACCTACCACGACAAGGCGCTATATAAGTATGGAAAGACATATTTAAAGACAAATAACTAACTTTACTTACCATAACAATGCTTTCGCTATCCTGAGAACACTGTCCTCTATAATTTGAAAAATCATTATTAGATATGTAGAAAAAATTAACAGGAGGATCACAATTTTCTGTGTCCGAGTAAACCTCTACAGGAAACAGTTCTTGTCCTTGTGACAGATCCCTGCAAGAAAAGTGGAACAGTAGTTCTAAATATCGTCAAAATAAGAAGAATGGTTCATGCGTAAACAAAAGTTGTAGAGCAAATTAGAATTAACAAATGACACATTTACACAATTCGAAATGCAAGTGTATTCGCATCAAAGCTTCATTACAAATGCATGTCGAAATGCTTCCTACCTTTGATGCGAAAACAAAAAAATCTAACCTAGTCTTCTTCTTTATTTGTGGGCTAATGAGAGAACAAAGTTTACAAATAAAGAAAACTACGAACTCTAGCACTTATAGAAGTTAACCTTAGCTAAGCCTAATTTTGCTGTGAAGGTATGGTACAACGATAAAAGGATAAATTTCTCGACTTTGATAAATCTTACAGAGACACACCAAAGCATTCGACTTCATTAAGCATCGTTGGAGATGATCGAATGCATATCTGGCCTTCGCAGTGATTCGCAGTGGCCTACTCCAATGTATCCACCCAGTGCAACTACCCTCCCAGACAAGTCTGGTACCAATTTGCTGACACTTAAGCGATGGAAGGCTTGGCGAGCCATGGGTGCGGGATCGATCCCATGTGTATTACAAGGTACCTCCTACCACTGCGCCACACGCAGCCTTGAAGGTATGGTATGCGCGGTAAATTCGTGAATCATGTGATAGATGTGTGGCTGTATACTCAGTGTCAGTCGACGTGCACGTGTTTAATCAGAAGTCTAGTTGATAAGAATAACTTCCAAACAGAAATCTTGAGTAAGGAGAAAAAAGAGGAAACAAAGAATTTCAAGGAACTCACCAACATAAACGAATACGGCTATTGGAATTATTTCGAAGAGGATTATAAATAAACTCATGAAAGGAGCCATTATAATAAGCGATGTCCTCATGGCCATATTTAGTGCGAGATTTTAATCCAGGCAATAGCTGTGTGACCATGTCTTTAAGTCGAATTAACTCTGCAAAGAAACTTATGAGATTACGTTTGGAATATGAACCGAATCTGACATAATCCAAATCTTCTTACGATTTTTCCTTAGCATATCCTTTAATTCGGAAGGAAACACGATAAGCCTAGCACGCCTCCTTTTCCGATAAAGGATTGATGCTGCGCATGCCTGCAAAATGGAACAAAATTTTCCAATATTACTCATGTAATCCAAAAATACATACTATACAAGGTTTGAGACCTTCCAACGGTTTACGGCCTCATCGTAGCTGGGAGGTGTTCATATGTGTCGAATTGCGATGTACAGCGGGGGTATTCATCCTTGCGGAACGGTCTCCCAAGCTGAGAAAGAGTCCGGCGTTCCCATCAGGAAGCCCAGCTAAGAGTAAACCAACACCAAGATCCGTCACTGTCTTGATATAAAACTCGTCGCATAGTGTCAAATCTTTCTCTGATCCACAAATGCGGCGACTGCCTGTGGTGGCAACGACCTGGAGCAGACTTTGCCATGCTGATCTCGGGACTACAAGGAAACACAATGAGTAAACCAGTAAACCATAAACCCGAAAAATGGAGACTGTGCTGGCGTCCGCGCAACCAGTGAGGACTGCCGTCCAAGCATCCAAGTAAGTATAAGGTTTGAGAATCATACCAATAAGACACCTCGTACCTTGACCAGCTGAGCTTCTTCGTCCCATAATCCACTGTCATCCTCCGTTTCATTGCCCATAGCATTGTTGTTTTTGTCCATCATTGAACTTGAATAATAAAAAAATTCAATTTTAAATACTGTGTAAATATTATTTGAATAATAGCGAAATTACACTGGCTGGTATACAATAGAAATGCTGATAGAAATGGTTTCATTTAAACTGAGTCACAAGGTAATCGAGTGTAAACTAAACACTATAGAAGAAGTTCGAAAACTCAACAATTGGAGCATCTTACTTTTGACAATCAGAATAGCATGGTTCCTCACTATTAAAATCACTATAGACAAAGTTAAAATCACTGTAGGTTGCTGATAGCGGTGGTCGATCGATAGAACTAGCTGAGAGACAGGCGAAACGAAGGATCCGCATGGTGTGGTGGTGAACGCGTTACTCCCCGGAAAGGACAATAGCATGTTCGTCTCCACTGACTCGATACATCAGTAGGCCGCCCCGAGTCATTGTAAAGGACAGATACGCATTCAGTCATCTCCAAACGATGCTTAATGAAAACGAATGTGTGGCGTATCCCTCAGGGATTGACCAACGCCAAGAGCTTTATCCCTTTTTTATAGACAAAATAGTAGTCAAAAGATGCCTACGGTATCAAAAGTTACTAGGTCTGTGGCACGTCATTTCGGTTGGTGGATGGATTTTAAAGGAAAAGTTTGCCACGTGCGATGAGCCTCACTTTTCTAATTGTACACATTGCAACGCTGTGGGTTTGTAAGGAAAAACTCATCCTAAACGCCCTAGGCAACTGAAAACGAGATTCATTTCTCTTTGAAATTCTACCATACCAAACAAATCTGTCCTAATCAAATAAACCCGATCCCATTATAACATGGGAGCATGCTCTAATTGAAAAATTGGTAACCCAATCGCAGATATATGATCCAATCGCACAAAACGTGTCCAAATCGTAAAGTACATGTTCATAGTACCGCTTCCTATCTAATAGCACGCCGCCACGTCACCACGCCACATGAAACACCACGCGGGAAAGTTAAAGGGCACGCGGTGATTTCGCGCGCCAAAAAATTCTCATTACCAATTTAAAAAAATTGCAGGACAAATCTTTACTAAACCGACTTTCATTTAACCTCGGCGTGACGAGTCAATAAATTTCCTTAGATTGTTTAGCTTACATGAGGTTCGTGGAAGTTTTTTATTCGACCAACACAAGGAAAAACGGCTGTAGATAATCGATCTGAATCATCGCGTTTCAAAAGAAGATAGAAGAAAAGAAGACGAAGACGCCAAAACGTTGGCCGAGTAAGAAATTTGTATAACTACAAGATAGTGCCCTATCGCTCTACAGGTATGCTCGCAGCTTACGCGAGTTCTCTAGGGAAGTTTTATTCGGCTAAAGTTTCGACGTCCTCCTCTTCTTCAGAACCAATAATCGATCCGAATCTATTGTCTACAGCTGTTCTTCTTCATCCGCGTAGTAATACTGAGACGAATCTTCTAGAGTGGACCACCGCAAGAATAGGAATCTCACTCGGCAGTACTCCTTTTACACAAGATGGTTGTTGTTGACCAACCACTGATAATGATAAGGATTCATAAACATAGTCTATCCTGTAGTAGTCGGCATTATATCGGCAAGCATGTAGGGAACACTTATTTTCTAAACTCCTTACAAAGACCCACGACAAAAGCACAAACAGCTGTGGACAATCGACTCGGATCTAACCGGTTCTGAAGAAGACGAAACCTTGAAACATCAACACAATGGAACCTCTGCAAGAACCTCGTGTAAGCTAAGCAATCTAAAAAAGCGTAATGATTACTCAAGCCGAGGTTAAACAATGGTCAGTTTTAAAAAACCAAAGAAAAATATTGACCCACCCTTATCAACGGCAACTTGGAAGAGTTTCAAATCGACACCGATAGAAAATAAGTTTTAAAGGTCAAAAAAGTGATCAATATGCATGGGCAGCGCTACGAAATAACTTCCCCAAAACTTCCTTAAAATTTTTTTGCTTAGGAGACTTTGACTGACTTAGAGAGGAAATTTCGACTATTTTACATCTCAATTCTGAAAATCCTCAATCAATACGAAGATATAGTGGTATGAGCTTAGAGTGCAGAAAAGAACTATGCGGAAAAAACACCTTACCACCACTTGTCAGTAGAAGTCCGATTATCACCTTAACGTGGCAGCCACGTGTCACGACGCACAACTTCAAATCACTCACGGACACTGGATAACTCGTCCACCTCTTGTTCGCTACCCGTAGGGCTATAATGACTTAGGACATGACAGAGTTCCAAAAGAGACTCCATATAGATCCTCGTATAAGAATATACGGTACTATTTGAAACATGTTGCTTACGGGTTATTGAAGCCCACTATCCGGCCACAGTGCTGTCAGCATTTGGACGAGTGGCACAACTTAAGATGAGTCTATTTCTGCATTTTTTATGTTGGCCCATTCCATACGATAAACATGATTTGTCGTAGTGATTGAAAGTGAAGTGAAAGTAAACTACCGATAAAAAAAAATAAAACCACAAATCTCGCACTTCGTGGATAGTTAAAACACTCGAGTTTTAGAGTCAGCATACCTAGGCGATGCTCCTCTATCGCTCTATAGGTGTGAATGCTGAAAGTGGTAATCTGGAAGAGAATACGGAACCTCCCGTTTAAGTAGTCGAAGACTCTGATGAAACTGAATGGGAGAAGAGAGATGAAGGTGCCCTTTTTATAGCGCAGAATAAATGATCTAGCAATGTATCGACTCGCAAAGACTGGATCATTGCTGAAGGTCAATTAGTGCTAGGAAGACAACTCTTGCTCCGATGAACAAGAACGACAACGCTGCCTGGGCTACTTGTAGCACCACACACTTGTAAGGTGATTGCAAACGAGACGAATAGGTAACCAGTGCGGAAGATTGTGGCGAAGCGACAACTATTGCTAAAATGGGAAGATTTCTCGGTCCCCGCATAACACGGAAATTATTAGATTTATACAGTTGATGTTTTGTTAGATTTCCAATTCGTTTCTTGTATGCCATCCTATTTTATCTAACGTTATTGTCCGAAATCGATTTCTTGATCTGAGACAGGTATATTTCTCACCCATATAAGGCTCTGTACTGCTCGTCTCCAATAATAATAGAGGACTTATGAAGAACAAAATACTAAGTGTTCAAGAGATGCTGTTTACTATGCCAATAAACATCTATGCATTAATGACAACCTATAACTTCTTATTTATTGTCTACTATTTTTCATGGAAGAGTGCTACCTGAAATACAAGCACAGTGATGCTCAGGTATTTTTGCAAGACTCATACGCTAGGCCCAATTCTCAGCAATATTGTGGTATTGTGATTTGGACAACAGACTCAGCTTAAGTGGGTTCAATTTCGATTTGTGCTGCCCAGATCATTGACGGTCGGTTGATGATGGAACCGTTTTGGTAAAAAAAAAACTGGCTGGAATAAAAGCACATCGAGAATCTCAATGGTGGAGAGGGTAACAGCTACTAGAAAAGGTAAACGCGGGTTCGAATCCGGCCTGGGATCTGAGCTTTGTAAATATCTATGTATTAAGTTCAATTTGCCAACGTTATGGAAGTGTGGGACTGAGTGGAATGGGGTCAATTTAATTCTTCCATGTTGCAGAGTAGGCGTAACGGTCGAAGTGTTAGATATTGTGGATCATTAAATGATCTAATAGCAGCCTCATGTTTGATCATCACGAAAACAGTGAAATTGGCATTATTAAGCCTCGACGCGACCCGTTCTTCGAATTCATCAAAAGTGCAGGTGATTGGAGGCCATAAACGCGTGAGAGCATTGTGAACATAAGTGAGTAGATAGCAGACTTATTCTTTGGCTGTTCATTCATTCGTGCTTGGTAAAATCATGGAACATCTAGTGATCGCTTGGAGGATTGTGGAAGAGATATTGCTGAAATGCTTTAAAATAGATGTCTATCTGCGCTATGTTGGAAACCCGACTGCTTTCACGTTGCTGACCATTAATTGCGCTGAAGAAACCAGAACTGTTACACCGAGAGACGACGAGTAGGGTGCTATAAGGTAAAATGAAGACGGTACGATTGTGAATGCTCAGTGGTGTTAATGCCGTTCAGTGCGAGCAATGAGCTAGTTCGAAGTCGCCCGGTTCCAGCTGGTCCTTCATCCATCAGGGGCAGGTAATTTAGCACTAAACTTGTTAGAGCTCGGTTGACTTTATCTGACCCATAAAATGAAGACGCAGTCTGTAGTAAAGGTGTAGGAATGACGTAGCACAGTTGCCTCAGAATTCGCGGAAGAAGCGCCTCGCCAGTCATTCGACGAAATTAGCAGCGAACACCAAAAATTCTCAAGCGGCAGTTCATGCGCAAATTCGAAGATCTACGTAGAATTGGCATGCGAAGAAACGAATCGAGAGCAAAGAGCGCTAAGATACGCGACCTCGGATCGTGTAAAAATAAACGAACAAAGAAACAGTTCAGTAGCAGTACAGTGGCCAAAACAATAAAGCGAAAATTACACAAGCGACAAAATACAATGAAAAATAACAAGTGCCTAGTTGTTGCTGGATATAAATAGAAATTAGAGGATCTGAGCAGGGATAGTTAATTTTGCCTAGGAGATGCTGCTCTATGATTATCGAACCACTCTGATAAAGTGTCCCTATTGATTTCTCGTCTTAAAATGACGAGAAGTATGCGAAAATATAGAACAACAGTGCTCGAGTACAGCAAAAGAGATATTACTTCGCGTTCTTCACCGAAAGCGGTTTCTTTGTTCCGTATTCCCTTCAACAGCAAAAGCATCTCTCCCAAAAGGTAAAAGTGCTCAATACAACAAAAAAAAGCCACTGGAAAGAAATGAATTGTGATCAAAGCACATCCCCTACTTATTTTCCGATGAAGACTACGAGTGAGCGTACTAGAGACCATGGCTGCGCAGATGCTTGTGTTGCACTCATTCTGATCCAAGAAAGACCAATGAGGTTTTTTCAACAATAATTAGTGCTTTATCATAGTTGAGGAAAATTAAGACGAAAAGCGGATGATATTGGTGTCAATCAAAAACTCTGCAAAAAGATCCTACAGTGTATCTGCCCTTACTTTAGCTTCTTGCAAAGCCCAGAAGGTTACCAATGAGCACAATTTTCAAAGCACATCCCCTCTCTAAGGAACCGAATTGAACTGTGTTATACTTGTCTTCAGTTTGCAATTTGCATTGCAAAAGGCTGTCTGTTGCAAAATAATCCTCCTAAAACCGTAGCTTTCCCTCCTTTAGGTGTTCCAGAGTAAATTCCAATTTTTGGTGAAAAGAATGTTTGTCGTTCAGGTTCATGCCTTCGTTTGATTCCACTCCACGCCTAGTGCTTGTTGATTCTTTCAGTCGTGGTGATTCTACGAAGAGTGTCTGTTAGTGTGAAAGGTCTTATGAGAGGATATTCATTTTATCTCCAATTTTCTACCGCAAATTGTTCGATACAAAAGTCTTTACACATTTTCTGTTTTCGTGTTAAATCCACAAGAAATACTTCATTTTAATCTATCATCGTGTCGAGTAAATATCATTGGTGTTACGGAGAAGTGATACTTGCGAGCGCCGAATTTGCACCGACAAGTAAATTAAAAAATAAGGTGTTTTATTATGACAAATTTCTTCTGTTTGTTTTTAGGGAGCGCATATCGTAGTGGTTAGGGGGTGCCCTCCAAAACACGTGGATTCTATGCGGCGACCAAGGCTCACCAAGCTTTCCATGCTTCCGGGGTAGACAAATCGGTGACAGGCCTGCGAGGATCGCAGCACTGATTCGGTAAATCGGCAAGCGCCCGCCAGTCATTGTTTAGGGCGGTATGCATTCAATCTACTCTAACGATGCTTAGTGAAGTCAGGGGGCGCATGCTTCACGGATCCCGCAATGCAGAAAGCTTTGCTTTTACTGGTGGTTTTAAGTCAAAGTATCCCTGTACTTAGCTTTCAGTGGCGCACCGTGACATTATTTGGCATTTGCAAGCTAGCGTGAGTTTGTTACCACTTCCTTATTTAATTACCGTTTTTGCATCGTCGCTCCTTAAGAGCTGCCATTATTCAAATCGGATGTCCGCAGTGGTTGCTTCTTAGGATGTTTCCCTTCATAGTCGCATCGAGGTGGTGTTCGTGCAGTGGCGTATCGCAGGAATGACAAATGGCATACATGCTGTCATATTTTAAAATTTTTTTGTGAAACATAGCACACCTTTTTGTGTTTATCATTTCTCGTTATTTAACACTCCAAACAGTGTAGGAGAGTCCACCACCGTACAAAGTTCTTTGTCAAGTGTTTAGCGCAACAGTATTTCGGTACCAAACCTGATGATGCTGTAGGCTATATTTAACCTGGTAATGCACGTTGGAGAACTATAGTATTAATAGCCACTTTTGGAATCGTCGTTTTGACTACAACACCATAATTTAATTGGAGAGCATTAATCCAGTAGTGATTATGTGTAAAATCCAGATCGAGGGGCCGAAAAACATATTTTTATAAACCAGTAAAAAGGAAACATAGTTCATGACGAAAAACTGTTATGCGGAGAGAACTAACATTAATATGTGGACAGTCAACTGCGTAAGCACCTATTTAAGACAGCATTGGTGTGTGGGTGACTTTCGTGCAATTTCAACATACCACTGATCAATTGAAGTGCTTAAATTATTCTAGTTTGATTTAGAACTTTCTTACTCACTTTTAGGTCCTCGACGACTGGCGCGGCACTGCAGTCGCAAAGAATCAAAACCGAGATGCTCGAGCGAAACCTTAAGATAACCAACTAACGGACCCAGCAAAATACGATACAGTGGTAAATACATCACTCGAAATGTGAAGACTCGATCACACATCTTCATTTAAACTGTAAAGTAAGCACTGCTTGTTGGTGATTTCATAGTCTTGATATGAAACTCGTCAAATATCGAGTAAATCGGGCCAGCACATTCAAATTACATTGTCTTCATTGCGCACCAGAACCACTGAATGGACTCCTCCCACACAAAGTCCGTGATGAGCTACGTAATTTTGAAACAAAACCCTTTTTCATTTATGATGCATAGAAGGCAAACACGAGTAGCTGAGTTATTCTCGTGGTAATAGACGTATGCCATATTGTTTGCACTTATCTATTGCTGTAACCTAGATAAAGGATAAATGAAAAGCATTCACAGCTTATAGGATACGTGGTCGTGGGCTACTTAAACAGTCAATAATAATATTAATGATGCTGAGTTATTTGCAAAAGTCCGGACCGCAGGGAGCAGCGGTGGGGAACGAACGCGCTATTGTCCTTTCCGGGGAGTAACGCGGTCACCACCACACCATGCCGGTCCTTATTTTCCCCTGTCTCTCAGCTAGTTGTGTCGATCTTTTGCCATCAACAATGACCCGTCAACGGGATTGATCTGGTGAACCCAAATCCGCAACGAACCCAGTAGGTGGCTGTGTCACACATAATACCCCATCGTGAGAAAATGTAACGAGAACTAAATAAAAAGTTAACATAGCTAATAATATATCACTACTGTAGCCCATGTGAAACATCTGGAACCATTCCAGCTTAAAGAAATGGGCTTGTGTTTTGGAGAATTCTAGTCATTTATTCTTACACTGAAGTACCACCTATTTTCTCGCAGGAATTTTTTTGTGATACCTTTCCTATTAAATCATTACGTCTTTCATGACGATACCGTATCCAATGTAGCACAAAGAAGTCTCTAACAAGTCAGGATTAAGATAAAATTATTAGAAAAAGTCTATCCATCCTAATTTGTCCCTGCAGCGATTTCTTGCTTACTGTACTAGGAGTATGTATCAGGACACAAGTTGTTGCTGGATGGGGCATAACGTTTTTGCTACTGTATTTGTAGTAACATTTCAGAATGATTGTAAAACTTCTCAATAGATGTTCCAACAACCTTTCACGACCCTTGTAAGCATAATGTTCGACGGGTAGTTACTACGGAATTTATAACTTTTACCATTTAATCCAACCAGTTCTAAGCAGAATTGTTTCCTGCACTAGCTATACTTGTTGTTGATCCTCTTAGCACATTTTTCTCCCGTCTTCTAAACTTCTGACACTTTGCTACTTCTTCTCAGCCAACAAAAGGTTTTCGTTTTCATCACTGTGTCGGTATTTTCCAAAGACAAAGGAAAAATTAAAGCTCTCGTTGTTGATCAATCCCTGAGGGATACACCATGCATTCGACTTCACTAAGCATCGTTGAAGGTGATTAAATGCATATATGGCCTTTATAATGAGTCCCGGTGGCCTTCCGATGTATCGAGCCAGTGCTGCTATCCTCTCAGACAAGTCTGGTACCTATTTACCTACCTCAGAGGGATGGAGGGCTTGGTGGGCCATAGGCGCGGTTATCGATTCCACGTGTGTCGCAGTGGTGCCTCCAACCACTGCGCCACACGCATCCTTATTCCAATGATGAGTTAAATATGTATAAGAAACATTAAAAACTGTAACAAAACTCCAAACGAAATTTTCTGCAATTTCCCACAATAGTCGACTTTGTTTGACTGGGATGTATAGTAGTATTCATGTACACTACGGAGAAAAGTCGAAACACCTAAGTTATTAAGAAGAAGAATATAAGTGTAATTCCGTAATTCGCTGGTTACCTCGAAATTTCGAGGAGAACAAGCTCTCTGGTTATTGGTGTCCACAAACAGTTTTCCTTAGTTCCAGTTTCACATCACTGGTCCTACTTCAGCACAACAATGCCGATTCAATACTGCTCATCTGTTCACTATTCAGTTTTTTCTGTTCGAGCCTCCTAGCAGGGTTGTCCGGTTCTTCATGCACATGCCAATCAGATGAGTCTTTCTCTTGGAATTTGAGCGATTCATATACGTGTATTCCAACTTTAGCTACGTGTAGATAAGTTGTGACGAAGGATGCTTTCAAACAGCGTCAACATCGTAATAATATCCCTCATCCTTCCACTTGAGCCTTGTTGTACCTACTCCACTTTATTGGCTCTCCGGTTGTCTCTCCAGGTCCCACTAGACGATCTACTTTGTTGAATCCTACTCCACTCATACTAAACGTTCTAGCTACTGTTATTACTCTGGAATAAACTTTTAGTCAATAATAGTACACTGACTTTCCTTTTCTTCACGTTCACAAACAGATCCCAAATATCATGGACAGAGACTTCGCAGCGATGTGCGTATTCTTTGCATCAAAGATAACGAATGGGCCTACTAGTCGTCATGAACCAAGTTGAGCGCGCATCGTTGACCTAATCATCGCTACCCACGTCCTCAACAAAACGTCAGATTCTTCATGTTAGTTCTCGATGAGATCAACTAGGACGAAAAGGATTTGTTATTTCAATCCAGAAAGATGATAACTAGTGAATAGTAATACAATGCGCATATCATTATAGTTTTTGCCACAACATATCGTTACTCGCTTTCCCATTGCAAACTTGAGTCTAGGACTTTTCTTTTAAGTTCAAAGTAGATGTCCACACGAGGCTTATATCTCGATAATTTCTACCTCGTTGGTTTCTGTCTAAAATTTGCAGAAACCCAAATTGACTAGTTTGCAACAAAATCGAATTTAGTAGTTAATTATAACAAATATAGTCGGGAGGGCAATAGCGCAGTGGTTAGTGATGGCGTCGGTCAGAAAGCAAACGCGCTAGTTCGATCTCCGTCCTATCGCCATCCTCCAATCCACGTGGGAACGACTTAGCCTAGCTATCTTCAGGATTACGAGGAGAATAGAGCCAAACAGCACTATGCGACATTCAGAAAGAAAATGAAATCTTTGAGCAACACTTGAAACAACACACAAATGTTGGAAGACTAGTGTGGATCTCGGATTCGAGGAAGCGAATCGAGTGCAAGAAGTGCTCGACTTCGCATAGCAGATGTGATAATGAGTTATTAAAAAAGAAAGAATGACAAAAGCAGTCTTCTATATCAACTCATTGCTTTATAATGCAAATCAACTGGTTACGAATAATACTTGCCATAGTTACAATGTTTACAATAACGCTAACCACTCGTTGCCCGTACGTAAGAATACTCTAAAAACCCATAATAGTGACAAGAGATAATAGGATTCAACAAAAAAGACGAATTTCTCAAGTTACATATTCAAAGCTGAGAAATTAGAAAATCGGATAACAAAGCTGACCACAAGGTTAGGATGTAGGAAGTTGGTCAATGGGTGTGATAAACTTGAAATCTTCTGGGAATAGCTCAGCAGCTCGAGGATATAACAGTTTATATGTTTGCTTAACTGTGACTTCAGCAGCACCAGCAATCTCCCCAATCTCTGTAAGTACTCATATAATAAGTGGTCATCGGAACATTTCCATTACCGTTAACTAAATGATATTGGCAACGGTGTACCTTTAGCTGATCGCTTTTCATTTGACGCCTGTGATGCCATATATATTGCTGCTGCAGCGATAGAAATTGGTGAACGACTTAAATGAAAACTCTTCAGAACCAAGCAAAATTCTTAGTTATGGCTTATTTAAGCACAACATACCCTGCAACAAGGTCCATCTCTACCGCTCGTTTTGCTATACGAGTAGCCGCAGCCTAAACCATCCAATGGTCAAAAATTAAAACTAAGAAGAGAAATGGAATCTATGGGTACCTGAATAGAATTTGGCAAAGAGAGATTTCCACAAAACCGTGACATGAAGTCAGCAGAGGTGATTTGTTCGAGATTAGTCTCGAGGCTTTTAATGATAAGTTTAAAACATCTCCCGATTTCTTTCTTGGAAACTCGCGAAACGGCACAAATCTCTGAAAATCGCTAAAAATCTGCAAAGTTTTGTCACTTTTAAGTTGACTGAAATTCACAAACAGTGAGAGCTAAATATTCACAGCATTTGATTGATACGCAGAAAAAGGTTCCTTCAGCGTAGAACAAGACCGCATATGCCGTAATATTGATAGAACATGCAAACAATTCTTAACATACATTAACATGCATTACATATATAAATGTAAAGACACATTTTAAATATACATATATGTACATGTGTAAATAAACATCCTTCTGAAGTGTAAACAAGCGTAAACTAAGGTTTCCGAAGGAGATTGTAGAATTGCAACATAAACCCGTATAATAATATTAGAAATAACTTCTTCAGTTCAAGAAGTGCCTTAATGACAGCTATGTTAACGGTTACGTATATACATATATACATATATATATATATATATATGTATATATATATATGCATATATATATGCTTGGGGTGGAGTGGTTAGTGCTTCATTTTACCAACAAGAAAAGAGATGGTTCGATTGGCTCTCTCCATAACGCTTTCCTCCAATCCCCACAGAAGCTCCCTGGTTCTGCTATCTACGAGATTGCAAGGACAAGCGACATACTTGACCAGCATTCTGCGACATTGATAAAAAAGACGGAATTCTCAAGCAGAAGCCGAAACAACATGTGAAGTAATCCAAAACTTTCATAGACGATGAATGGGAAGAAACCGAATCGAACACAAGAAGCGTTAGGACCCACACAGTCGATATGATGACGGGTCACGTAAAAATCCTCTTTGCGATATATATAAAGTGACTCATACTTCAAAATCTCCGTTGTGTTCCTGCATCCTATGCGCGCCTAGTGGAGTGTTTGGTTTTAATTTAGATTTACCGACCAGGTGTTCTTTTATGCGGACGCAGAGCGATCTACCCGTTTCGCCAACGTATTCGTCCCCGCTCGCTTTATAAGAGATCAGATTAACTGTACCCGAACTCATGCAATCACCGTCTCTACCGTTAGGGCAAATTTGCAGTTTTTCGTTATACATAGATGGTCTTATAGGCGGTTGCGAACTAGCTGGCGTCTAAGAGTGTTCGATGGTATTCGATAATGCTCCTCCGGTAGTCGTAGTTAAAAGCGTCAGATATCGGTCCACCCGTTGGCTTATAAGGTATCGCCTTTGATCTGTCGTTGATGTAAATAAAAGCTTCGGTTTACATGATATACGATCTCCTAGCATCTTCCTTTTGATTTGGATAAAACTTGCAAAGCTTGCAGCTTGTTAATGAGGTGACACAGGATTTCTGATTTTCAATCGTCGCCTTAACAATCCTAGCGGGAATATCGACCGGTTTTATCACCGTTTTATATCATGGAAGTACCAGGAAAGTACGGCGAGGAAGGAAGAATGGAAAACACGGATTGTTGGGCGCTCTGTGTGCTGAATGGCAAAGTTTTGCTTGCGAAGTTATGTAGCTCAAGTATCTTTGGATTTGGTATTTTTATTTAATAATCAGGACCACCAGTTCCATATACAGCTTCCATAATAAATTTTGCTGTAAATGTACCGAAGGATTTTAAATCAACGAAAGTATGAGATGAGGGACTGATGGATACCGGTCGTGATACCTGTGAAGTTCGCCGCCGTGTGATAGTATTCAGTTTGAATTTGCTGACTCCGGATTGATAGAGGGGTTGCTTTGAATGAGGCATGTGATCGAACGAACGACCACATGACTATTGCAGGGCGCCTCTCAAAAATTCGCTACACATGCCTTTATCTTTAAAAAACTTGTTGGAATCTTATACGTATTGTAATCAACAACAAAAGACTCCGTACATATGGGGAAGGGGCGCTTCCGAATACAGAAGCTTGTTGCTTTTAAACTCAAGCAAGAGTCATTTCAATCCCGTTGACGGGTGATTGCTGATGGCAAAAGATCGATAGAACTAGCTGAGAGACAGGCAAAGCAAAGGACTCGGATGGTGTAGTGGTGAAGTGCGCTGCTCCACGGTAAGGACAACAGCGCGTGTTCGTTCCCCACTGCATACACCTGCGGTACGGAGTTTTGCAAATATCTCAGCATTATATACGAGTTATATTTCACAACATACCCTGCCATTAAAAAGGAAAAGGCAGTAAATAAAAGGGTTAAGATCAAGCAAGAGTAGTATAATATTAAGGCAGCAAATAATTCCGTGATAGAGTGTTACTAATGCTATACAAGCAATGAGAACATAAAAAGCACGGGAACAACCAACAGATTATTAATCAATGACAGTACCTTTGAACGTCCTTGGAACTCCTTCCTTGCGGCAAGCAATATACAGGCATGCTGCAGCCTGTGCTTCGTTGTTTTTTCCTTTAAGAGCTTTGCTATCCAAAACGTCTTTGAATGTTTTTGAAGCTAAGTCCTAATAATAGAAAATATCATAGCAAACAAGTACACCAACAACTAATCATGCCATCAATTTCATACCATAGTGTACAATATCAAATAAAAATTAGTTCCTTACGTTTTTGAGCATATTTTCTCGTTTTTTCTTCTTCCTCTCTTTTTATCTATATAGAACAAAAATTAATCCATGATATTCCTCTTATCATCATCGGAGACAGTACGCATGGATTATCGTTTCCCAGAAAGACAACTTGACTAGTTTTAAGAGGGAAGTCATTTTTTGGTTGTGGTAACCGTCGAGTTAGATAACCTGGAGGAATTATGTCCTAACTTTACCGTGAATGGTGTACATTAGCCTAACTATTACGCTCTAAGGTCAAACAGCGTTGTTCTAAAACCAGAATATGCATCTTTTCAGTCTTTCTATAACCTACAGACACGCAGAATATCTCAGTGGGGCAGTTGATGTTAAACATCTTATTTAGATACAACAAGCCCCAGAAAATCATTCCTTCTGATTCTGTGCATCATGCTTGAGGCTGATCAAGCAAGAATACCAAGGAGAGTTCCATGTGTCAACTTCGAAACAGATGCAGCTCGCATCTTCGTTCATAATCACCTCAGCAAGTCTTCTCGATATGCAAAGGTTCAAACAAAACATTAACGAAGCATTTGAACAAGAGCTTTACCAAGCGTTCGATGAAGTTCCCGACTCAAACACTATATTAATTCATTCGGAAGTCATCAGCGCGCTGGTGCAGAACAAGTCCTAATAAAGATCACGGCAGGAACCAGTTGATCGCACATTTTGCTTCGGTAGTACCTTCGCAGGGGTCATGTGCACTCCTACCTGCTATAGAGACGCTTGGAAACGCAGTTAGCTACAGCAAAGAAGCTCAATATTGTTCTAATGTGAAAGTAAAGCTAAAAGCAAAAAGGATAAAGCCCTCAGCGTTGATCAATCCCTGAAGGATGTGCCATTCATTCGACTTCATTAAGCATCGCTGGTGACGATTAAATTATCTCGCCATTACAATGATTCGCAGTGGCCTACCAATGTATCGAGAAAGTGCTGCTACCCTCCCAGACAAGTCCGGCACCAATTTGTCGACCCCGGAGGGACGGAAGGCTTGGTGAGCCTGGGTGGAGGGTGGATCGATCCCAGGTGTTGCAAGGCGCCGCCGACCACTGCGCTACACGCGCCCTAAAGTAAGGTTACTGATCAAAAACATGCAGAGAGTTATGCCCAAGCATAATAACTGCACCATTACTCTCATTTCTTTTATATGAAGCAATTTCTTCAGGAACTTCAGGTCTTTACCAAATTTTTCATTCGTCTCCAAGCCTTGTAGAATAACTTCATTGCAGGATAGAGCTAAGAAGAATCCACAACACACCAACATAGGATTCTTAAGTGAACTATAGCAACAGGATAAAACACTTCATGCAAAATTAGTTACACCAAAAAAAAGAAAAAGAAATTGAGGAAAATTACACCACCTGAATGCTCTTGGCTAGGTGAATACGTTCACTCATCTCTCTTATAACACTCATCGCTTGGGTCATTTGACGATCAGTGTTGTTCATGCTTTTCCTCTGGGAATTAGCAAGGCTAAAGTTACAGAACTAAAAGTAGCAAGTCCACTCTTGTAAGTGTGTCAAAAAGCGAAAAACCAACCTGTTATCACTGTCACTAGCTCCAAACCCAACTGCAATACTAGTAGATAAGTCTCCTCCACTGAGCAGAGGGTTTTCGGGCGCACCAACGCGTGATGGATCAGCTCCACTGCGTTCATTAGAAAACGAACGCCATTCGGTTCCAACGTCAACCAATCTGAACTAAAGACATTGCATCCAGTGTAGGGAAAGAAATCGAAGGGAGGCGTTTCTCAATTGAGTAATTACGAAGGTACCTGTCTCCGACAACTAGGCCACATTCAGGGCAAATCACGTCGCCAGCACGATGGTCTTCGACCAGGTGCACGTTTGGATGAATGGGACACTCCACTGAACTCATATCTGGCAAACAATCCTACTTATCGCCCGATTTTTCTTATTCCACAAGAAAGCATGAGAACATAAAATAGATAACTGCTTGCATACACTTATGATTATGAGCGGTAGAAAGACACAAGAATTTATTAAATAGTTCAGCAAAACACAACCATTTAGCAAAGTGGGAAAAAACTATGGTGAAGACCCTCTCATTAAACCATCAATGAATTTTGCAACCAAACGCTGATCTGGTGGTATAAATGGATTCAAATTAAATAAAACCGGGTTTAGCAATGTGCTACACAAATGCGATACCGAACAATACAGCAAGTGCCCGCCACGAGCCAGTTCCTTCGCTAGTTCAAGTTGATGATTATCCATAAGATTCTCATTCACCACAACAATTAGCGGGCGACGATGCCGTAGACATTCAAGACAAGTGCCTGCTCCCGCGTGTGCAATAACTACCTGAAAGAGTCTAAGTACACAAATGTCTTACATGTCGCAGAGCTGAACCTTGTTTCCAAATGTTTCAGTTAGCTTACCAGCGCATCTTTCATGTCAAGCTGGATGTCGGGTTTAAATCGATAAAATTCAATAGGAATACCTCCACTCTGCAAATAGAAATCTAAATAACAAAGTCCAAAGATCTCACCCCTTATTTTTAACAGTTAAAATCAAACGTGATGGTAAATCTGGTGCGTGAATGGACGGAGAGCACACCTTGTGAAACAACGAGCTAAATGCGGCAGCCTTACATAGTTAAGTATCGGATTACAAATGCTACAATTTCAAAGGATTGCCGAAAACTTAGCCAATGGGGCGACTTCGGATTTCAGTCCCAAGTGTTTCAAACAAACTTCCAAAACAAATTTAAAGGATCAACAAATGACAAAGCTCTCGGCATTGATGTTTTCCTCGAGGGACGAGCCATGAATTCGACATTATTAAGCATCGTTGGAGCAATGGCTCACGGCTGCCTAGCGATGTATCAATCTAGTACTGCTTTCCTCCCAGAGAAGTCTGGCACCACTTTGTCGATCCCGGAGGGATGGAGGCCTTGGTGGGCCTTGGGCGCCGGGGTCGATCCAACATATACTGCAGGGCGCGTCTAACCTCCTTCCTAATTTTACAATTTGCCATTTCCCCTCCTATTATTGTAATGCTTGATAAAAAGTGCAACTACCTCTCCTTCTCCTTGATCTGCGACGACGCCACTGAATACTCGGTCCCTCACGTCATCATTCCAATTACCAGCACCAAGTTGGATCTTGATTCTTTTCACACCCAATGATTTCAACTTTGAAGTGCAGTCATCACTCAACACCTATAATAAAAACGGCTGCAGAAAATGTCATTTTAAACGAGGATTTACAGATTAATGCACCTCATTCACCAATTGATCGAAAGAAGTAGTGCCAACTGTGACAAAACAGGTCATCTGTACAACATACCCAAACAATTATTTAAAGTTCTGAATTTATACGATAAACATAGAAAATGGCCCAGTTGCATGGACACAATAAACCTTGTGAGATAGAAAAGTTATCTGAAGACGGTTCCATCACTAAACTTTTCCAATTTTCATTTAAATAATGGGCCAGCACCTTATTCAACTTGTAGCAGACATATTTTCATGATCATAGCACCATGTACGCAAGACAACCACACTGTATTCCCTACAAATCTTTACTTTTTAGCTCTTTCGAGTGAAAAATCACGAAATTCAGATCGAAAAAAAAGAAAAAAAAGAAAAGCGTTAACATCGATTCAACGAAACCATGATGATCCATAGAAATCCAGATCGTAAGTAGGTCAGCAAACGAGCAGATTCTGTAGCATTCGTTAGCGGACGGATGGATCTATCATGACACGTACTGCTTCTTCAAGCCTTTGGCGCTATAATAAACCAATTATTACCTAAATAACCAAACGAAGAAATCTACGTATATGTTCTTACGAACTGGCCAAATTTAGCTGAGGTGAGGCTGGTACAGATCTTCTTATTGTTGTTGCTGTCGTTGTTTGAGAGTGGTCATTGGTCGTGAACAACACACAAGTGGTCCAGCAACACGGATCTGAGGAAGAGAAGCGAAGTCGCGGAGACGTCGGCCATTGAACAACGACAACAACAACAATGAGAAGATCTATACCAACCTAGCGCGTCAACTAAATAAGGGGAGTTCGTAGGAGCATGTACATGGGTTCGATTTTTCGACATATAGATATATCGACTATTATGTCGAGCTTCATAGAATGTCGATCTTTTGAGTTACCGAAGGGAGAAATGACGAAAACCCACTAGCGTATGCACGACGCTTCTTTGACAACGGAGTTCACATAATACATCAAAAAGTTGAAGTCTCACGGACCTCTCCATACTTCCATCCTAAAATTGTAAAGTGAATTAGTACATTCACCACGACTAGAGTAACAAAAAATTTCCACGCTGGCGAGGAAAGCCCGGACGATATGAATCAAATATGGGTCAGACTCTTTCTGTTTGCTTTACGCCACAGAGTGATTGCGCACACAATTTCTATTCAGTCAACAGCGTCTCGAATACAGATATATATTTGTGCCTGGCGTCATCCGAGAAGAGCAATTGGCTACACTTAATTATTTGCAAAAACAAAACCTTTTTTAGTGGATTTGCTCTGCTTGTAGATCTTTACCAGCGAAAAGGGCATAGAGATATCTCTTGCGCGCTTGTGCACTAAAGTGCCACACTTATAGACACCTCGCCACGATGAGATGGTAAATAATTAAGCAGACTTGCATAAATGTGATATATATATATATATATATATGTATATAAAGGACAAAGGATAAAGCTCTCGGCGTTAATTAATCGCTAAGGAATGCGCCATGCATTCCACTTCATTAAGTGACGTTGGAGGTGATTGAATGCATATCTGGCCTTTACAATGACTAGCGGTGGTCTACCAATGTATCAAACCAGTGCTGCTATCTTTCCAAACAAGTCTGGCACCAATTTGTCGATTCCGGAGGCAAGGAAGGCTTGGTGGACCATGGGCGCGGAGACCGATTCCATGTATGTGTTACAGGGCGGCTCCGACCACTGAATTACATGCCCGTTCTTACTTGCATATATACATTGGATCCATACAAGTCGTTGCTTGTAGAAAAAGCTAGGTGTTAATAAAGTGCGCGTTCATCACTGCACACCAAAAAATTCCATTTTTGGGAAAAATGCATTCTCGACCTTTACTGTTGCAATTTCTTAACGATGAGGCAGAAACCATCTTCATAGCAATTTATTTCGTTACCTATGATTCACAACTTCGCTACCTCTTTCATACACAATTTCACAAATATCTAAATAAAGAAGCTCCACAATGTAAATTTTTTATTCTTCTCTACATTCTTATGTAAACCACCTTCACATATTAAGCAGATCACAGAACTGCTTTCATTCCATTAATTCCCCTGGATGTTTCACTCACGAAGTTGCAATACGCGTGTGGGTCCACCTGCAACTTGAGGATTTTGACTCCTTCTTGAATGTCGGCAGAGTTCGACTCTTTCTGTAAGCTGAGTACAGCCCTTTGAAAGCGCAGTGTTCCCACGTATCCATTACAGGTAGTCGACGGATTCTATTGATTGAAAAGAACTTTCCTCAAATACATCCAGTACTAATATGCCAACTTTTAGAGGACTTGGCTCGCCACGATAGCTAGGTCGAATCACTGCGTGGCGACCAGTGAATGTCCTCATCTTTTCAACAGTTATGTTTATAACCTCTCAACAGTTTACCGCCCCATCGTGGATGGGAGGTATTCCTGGGTGTAGGGCTGCGATGTTCAGAGGAGGGATTCATCCTCCTGGCAGGGTCTCCCATGCTGAAGAGTCCGGCGTTTCTATCAGGAAGTCTAGCTAGGAGTATGCCAAAACCAGGATCTATATCAGCATCCTGGTATCGAAGTCGCATGGTGGCAAATCTCCGTTTGATCCACAAGAGTTGCGAATACCAGTAGTGGCGAAGACATGGGGTAGACGTTGCATAGGTTGACCTCGGGTTTTAGGGAACCACAATGGTTTAACCAGGAAATCTCCGAAAAGTGCAGAATATGCTGGGGTCCGCATAACCAGTGAGGACGGGCCAATCAAGTACCAAGTATAAGTATTTATTTATAAAACTGTAGAAATTCTATAAATTAAAGAAGCAAAGTGATCGACAGTAGGTACAATGCTATCCAAGACCACTCACTGCTTATGAGTCACAACACCACCTGTTCCACCAACCACGCATGAACTGTTTACGATTACCCCGTTCTCATCTTCCGACTCACTTTCTTCATCAAACGTTTCGAAAAGAACAAGAGGTTTGTTTTCAATCTGCTGTGTATAATATCTTTTCCACATGAATCTATCATGTGATGAAGCTAAAATCCTCTCCAGTTCGGCTATCATGTCTCGAAAGGATGGAGTTCAATTTTTGACAACTAATGGACTCTTTCCTCCTTTCCAATTGCTACGAATCATGGTTATCATTTAGAGCTACTAGGTATGAAAAAATGCAAAAAGTAGGAAGTTACTCAATATATGCTGTGCAGTCGACTACCAAAAACTGATAGTATCGATGCTTCTTCATGACGTGCATCAGTTGCACGTAAGATAAAACATGAGAAGATACACTGAAGGATTCAGAGGATACATAAGGAGTAAAAAGTTACAGAAAGATGGACCAAATACAGTCTCGCCTCACATTTGGGCTGTATAAAAACTACACATTGTAGCAAAAGGCTTAGTGGTTATGAACTCCATAGGTAGGATCACAACATTTAAAACATTAGATTTACCAAGACCTCTCTTCACAATGAAAAGTAAAAAAGACATCATAAGCTAAACGTATCAACAATGTCAGTACCACTTTTAAAGTTTCACCTCACATCCTGAGCGCTATTGCCAGATACAAACGGCTTTCTCTATTCAGTATCAGACAGATACTAGCTATATCGAAACGGCGGCGCACTATTAATTTTTAAATGTATCTAAACTATAACAAATACGACATTGCAAATATATAAGAATTGATGGAATAAAAAAAAAAGGAATCCTAAACACTTTCTTTTCTGTTCAAGGGCAATAAAAGAAAAGCTCTTGGCGTTGATCAAACCCTGAGGAATGCGCCATGCATTCGACTTCACTAAGCATCGATGGACGTGATTGAATGCAAATCTGGCCTTTACAATGACATGCGGTAGCCCACGATCTAACGAGCCAGTGGTGCTATTCTCCCAGACAAGTCTGGTACCAATTAGCTGATCCCAGAGAGAGTGATAGAAGGCTTGGTGAGCTCTGGGCGCGAGGACTGATCCCATGTGTACTGCAGGGCACTTCTAATCATTGCGCTACACGCGTCCTTCAAAGCTAAAATAAACAGATATTCCAAAAATGTACACTTACATTAGGAAGAAGACCAGCTTTGAAAAGTGAGTTCAAATCTTCCACCAATCGCTCAAGAGTGTGAGATTGGGTTTCCGTTCTGTCCATAATTGCCAAGATATTCTTGCTTTCTACACAACATTTATTTATCTCAGCGTCGTCATTAACCGAACCAGATTCGATAGTAATTATGCTGAAAGTCGACAGGTAGTTAGTAACATATAAACAGTATGAAGACTAAAAACTATTTTAAAAAATGGAAAAACAAACATAAATTAAAGGATGAATAAAAATTATATCAAGATACACTGCAACTTGTGACTAATATTTACCAGGTTTCGATGAACTTCATTCACAAAACCTTCAGGCTCTACCACGTTTACCAGCTCTTTTATCTCTCCAAAAATGTTACTGTTTCCAGTGTGAAAAGTTCTGCAAGTACCATTCCGTGAACCAGAATTGGTTCCCAGCCGTTGGTAGAGCTGCGTAATACGAGCTGAGAATGCGTCCTCACTTCTGGCCTCTTCCGAGGAAGTTTGCATTCTAACGTGGCCCTATGTAACGTCTCTCTCGTTTAAATGGTGCTAGCTCTTCTCATGAAATAACCACCTTGTCTCGGTTTTGATGTTTACTCAAATAGATCGCGCAGAAAAAAACACTCTTCGAAGATTTGAACTGCGTAGTTCGGCTTGACATTGTGCGTCGGTTATACTTCAGAAGTCATCGTTCAAATGTTCTCAAGGCAGATGCATGAAAACATCCACGAGGTTGATATACCAAACTTCGTCTCAGCTGAATATCAGAAAACGGATGGAGTTCTGCATGCGCCAACTGCTAATACGGTTTCTGTTAAAAGCCTGAAAAAAGTCATCGGCGTTCTCACTTCTTTCGCAAAATTGCTCTTTCACATAGTTCTCCGAGCTCGTTGAAGCCTATTGCTATAAGTAATACGCATAATGTGAGGACCGTCTTTTTTGATTCTCTGTTGATGAGTTGAGAACATTCCCTTCACTATTACTCTGGGAAACAGGA